CTATCTCCCACTCTGCCCTGGCCTATTTACATTTCCTATATCCTCTAATCACGCCTTCACTGTCACAATATTTCACTTGCTTAATTAAATGTGGTACGGTGTGCCCTTATTAGCGGCTTTCATGATAACCCTCCGCATTCCACGCTGGCCTTTTCACCGCCCTTCATCCTTGTGCTTGGAACGTTGATCAGAGTCTGCCATATTGTTATGCAGTCCTTCCCTAGGTCTGTCTCTTGCCCCTGGTTCATATATTTCACTTGACCCCTGCTATCCCATCTGTGACTCTCGAGGCGTTATTGGCCCTACCCTGCGTCTGGGTGACTAATTCGAGGTATGCATACAATGGACTGAGGTCAAGCTGAGTTCCTTTAAGTCTTCCTAGCGATATGACCAATTGTGAAAACAAGGTAAAACAACTTTTATACAACGAATGGCGACTGCGACCACACAAAAGGCCACACCATCTTGGTCTTCATCTCTTCAACTAATTATAGTTTCTATCAATTCCACATACTATCTCTAACTTACCCTTATTGTTGCTGAAAGTTTTAATCACGAGTCATTCTCTTTTTAGTTATTAGAACTCTGATATAAACTCTTAAGTTAATAAGAATGCCTAAGGACTTAATGGTTAATTTTGATTAAAAAACACTAACTATTCAATAGTCTGCATAACCTCATTAACATTATATTTTTTCAGAATTATTTCAATTGCAAATTTACAAATTTTTTTTACTTTATGCTAATTTTATGACTTTCTAATTTAATTTTATATTCTCAATTTAATATTGTTAGTGTATTTTCGATACGAGGATATATTAATTTAATTATTTGCCTCTTTTTAATTATTTACCTTTATTAAAGCATGTTCAGAGGTATCGTGAACGTTTAATGGAACGTCTCAATGAGTCTGAATCGTCAAAAAGCTCTAGTGGATCCTCACGGCACTCATCCAACAAAACCTTCTCTTCTAAAATGACCAAATCTTCATCCAAAGAGAAGTCTACTCATCACAATCGCCATCATCATCATCGCCACCACCATCACCATCGACGCGGATCAAAGGCACGCGATCACAGTCGTACTAGGAGCCGCAGTAAAGATCAAAGAAACAGCCCGCAAAACACAACTATTTTATCCAGACGTGATCATCGTGACCGATCACCACCTCGATCTCTTCGAAATGACCGTACTCGTGATGATGCGAAATCCAGCAGGCCAGATAAGAAGATAAAAGCTTCTACCTCCACACCCAGCAATAATGGTCGGCATCTGGTAAATGCTAGTTTATTAGGCAGTAGCAGCGAAAATGCATCAGCAATTGGGCGAAGACGCTCAACTCATCGTGAGTCTAAACGCCTTACCGATGGACTAGTTGCAGTTAGCTCTGACGAAGAGGACTACGAACTGGGTTCCTCAGCATGGGACGAGGATGAAGGGGAGGAAGCAGAAAGACTCGCTTCTGGGGAAGCACGGGATCTTGAGGAGGATGAGGAGGGAGAGGAAGACGACGATGTTGAAAGGATAATGCTTATGTCAGGCGGTGGGTCGGTTTCCTCAACCTATCATCATCGTCACGATACTTTAAAGGGATCAAGAGATACTGGTGAGATCGAGGAAGAAGAGATGCTCAGTGATACAGACTCACGATCAACTCCCACTTCCAAAGGATCCGGTTCGGTATGCTATTTGGTTGTTTTTCCAAAGTATTTATTGTTTCTTGTGTAATAGCTTAGCTATTCCGGGTCAGGGTGTGACTGAAACGGGTTGATTGGTCTACTTAGAAGAGTTGCTTTCATGTTAGATCGGAATTT